CATAATATCCTCAGGGTGCCTCAGAACTCTATTGTTTTATTTGGACTAAAATGTTTTGGTCTATTGAATGATTTCTTCAGATTAATTTGATATACACTCATCCATGTTATTTAATACAAAGAACATTGTATTAAAAAGAAAATTTTACTTCAGTGTATGTGATTGCCCTCTAGCGGGGGGCCACTCAAACTGCAGACCAAAATGACAATTTTCCAGAAGGCTCTGAGGAAAAACCAAGCAAAATTGACCACATGCAGCCTACATCAAACACTGTCTTCATGTTTATTCTAAAGGCTCAGAATTTTACCAGATGGTTGATTTTCATGGTTCTACTCTTTCTTTTACAAATACACTGGTGGCATTCAGAATTCCAAGTTCAAATAGTAAGCACATTGATCTTTGTGACGAAGAAGTAGGAGACTAAAGAGTTAAGAAAGTTTTCTGAAAAGTTTCTGCAAGGTTGGGGTCTTTACTTCAAAAACTCTCAAATGATACTACTTCACTTTCCTCTTATATTTGAAATAATATGCTGTATCTTGTTATTAAAACTGACTGACAAATTTAATTTTTCTAAGAAATATTACTTCCAGGTACCCTTGTAGATGAAAAACAATAAAAATCCCTACTCTCATTGAATTTCCATTCTTTATCAAAGAGTTTACTTACATAACTTTGTGCCATTGTTTTATTACAGTAGATGTAAGTAATGAAAAGCTAAATAATGCTGAAGTAACTAACAAGTCAGAAAGGTCAGTGCTGTAATAATATGTATGAATGAATAATCTGAGAAACTGGATTATATGAAGGAAAACATGGCATCAGGATTGGAGGAAGACTCATTAACAGCCCTTGATATGCATATGATACAACATTGCTTGCTGGAACCCTGTTGTTGTGGTTGTTAAATGCTATTGAGTTGAGGACTTAAAATACTTACTTATGAAGATCACAGACCACAGTCTTCAGTATGGATTAGAACTCAATGTCAAGAAATAAAAAGTCCTCACCAATAAACCAATAAATAACATCGTGATAAACGTAGAAAAGGTTGAAGTTATCAACTACATCATTTTGCTTAGATCCACAATCAACACTCATGGAAGCAGCAGTCAAGAAATCAAATGATGTAGTGCATTAGGCCAATCTGCTGCACAAGACCACTTTAAAGTGTTCAAGAGCAAAGATATCAGTTTGAGCACTAAGGTGCACCTAACACAATTCATGATATCTTCAGTAGTCTCATATGAATGTGAAAGTTGAACATGAATAAGGAAGACCATAGAAGACTTGATGCACTTGAGTTATAGTGTTGAAGAACGATACTGAAAGTATCATGGACTGCCATAAGAACAAACAGATCTGTCTTGGAAGAAGTACAGCCAGAATGCTTCGTAGAAACAAGGACAGAGAGACTTCATCTATCATACTTCAGAAATGTTGTCAGGAGGGACCAGTCCCTGGAGAAGAACATCATGCTTGGTAAAGTAGAGGGTCAGCAAAAAAGAGGAAGACTACTAACAAGATAGATTGGTACAATGGCAGTGGACACAAACATAACAATAATTGTGAAGATGGTACAGGACTGGACAGTGTTTCATTCTGTTGTGCATAAGGTTAACATGAGTCAGGATTGACTTGGTGGCACCCAACAACAACAGTGTGTGTTTGTGTACATGCATGTGTACGTGCATTTTCTTGTTTGGACTAAATTTCCATTGTGTGTGAGAGAAGAGCCTTTCTTCAGCATAACAACAGTAGAACTGAGGCTGAAGCACATGCTTCCATGACTGCAGATTTAGGGGGAAAATATCTTCAAGATTCTGTCTTTAAGAGTTACCACCCATCACTTTTCATTCACATTTCTTTGGACAAAGCAAATAGCATGGCTCCCCTTGAGCTCAGTGGAGTGAGAATCAGTTTTGGTGAATGGCAATGTAGTTTGGAACCATGTGTATTAAATGTCTGTTTGTACCAAGGAATGCTCTAGGTGCTGGGTTATGACAATGAGAAAGACCTTCCATTCAGGAAATTATACAGTCTATCAGATGAAGCAGAGATTAAGACAGATAACAATAGGAATATCTAATATAGAATACCATTTGTCTTGAGTGCTAAGAATAAAGCCATGGTATTTTCAATAACTTCATATGCATGCGACAGCTGGACAGTGAATAAGGATGATTGTAGAAGAATTGATGCATTTGAATTACGTTGTTGGAGGATATTGAAAATGCCGTGGGCTGCCAAAAGAACCAACAGATCTGTGTTGAAAGAAGTGCAGCCAGAGTGCTCCTTGGAGGCCAGGATGGCCAAACTTCATCTTTCATACTTCGGACATATTGTCAGGAGGGACCAATCACTGGAGCAGGATAGCATGTTTGGTAAGATGGAGGGTCAGAGAAGGAGAGGAAGACTCCAGCAAGATGGATTGGCAAAGTGGCAGCACCAATGGACCATTGCTTTGGAGTTGACTCCTACTCATAGTGACTGAACAGGACAGCATAGATTTCCCAAGGTCATAATCTGTATAGAAGCAGACTGCCATATTTTTCTCCCATGGAGCAACTGGTGGATTTGAACTCTGTTCTTTTAGATACCACTGAGCCATCAGGGCTTCTGCAATTTCAATAGGGATAGGAAAAAAGGTCTACATTTTAGTTATTGTTGCTGTTGTTATGTGCTTTGGAGAAGGTTCCAACGGATAGAAACCCTGTATACAGTTTGAGGCTTAAAATCTTTGTGGGAGCAAAAACCTCATCTTTCTCCCATGGAGCAGCTGGAGAGCTTGAATGGCCAATCTTAAGGTTCACAGCCCTGTGTTTATCCAACAGAGTGACCGTGTCCCCACATTTCAGATAGGAAACAGTAAAACAATCTGTATTAACAGGCAGTATGTTTGTGTTTAAAGAAATTACAAAAGAGATTTGAAAACAACAAAAAGAATTGGCAAATGTATTTAAAGGGAGCATATGATATAAAACAATAAATGAAAATCAAAATGATTACTATATATGAGCAGCAAATAATTAGAAATTGAAATGATAAAAATGCATTTTCCAATATCTTCAAAATCATGGCTATTTAGCAATAAATCTTGGAGGTGGGGCTCGATGGCGGATAGGGTAGAGGTGCAGAGAAGTTTGTCTCCAGCAATACCACAGAATACCAAGCGAAGCGGGTTCAGGGTAGAGCGCCAAAACTCGGAACCACATACATAGGCATATTTTTAAAGTTTGAAGAGTTATAAATAGTGGAACTTGTAGCAGAAGTAAGAAATCGTGTACTTTTGAATCTGCTGTGTTCAGGGGCCCACAGCCGATTGATAACTTGGGTGAGACCAAACGGCAAGACCAAGTGGGGGCGCAAGCAGATCCACCATGGAATAACACCACGGGAACCTCAGAGCAAAGGTGGACAACACACTTTGTCAGTTTTGCTTTGTTCTGATTTTCTTTCTTTCTTTTTTAAAAAATCTGTTCATTGGCCACCCACTGTTTATGCACTTCCATTCTGGCGACTAGAGGGGGTTTCTGAGTGAATGGACTCTCCCCACCCCCACCACTGGTGTGTTCTTCTGCCATGAATACGCATAGATACTCTCAGCCTAAGAACCAGCCCTGAACTGTTTTTTAATAGTGAAAAGGCCAGAACAATTGGTGCCGCTGACCTTGCAGTTCAAACGGCTTTGCAGTCTGGCGCATTAACCCACAGCGCCACACCAGGACTCCTGATGGAGTAGCGAAGACTTTATTTGCAAATGATGATCCAAAAATCTCAGAAGCTGCCTGAAGGACTGATGCAAGATGCTTCTCTCCGTTTGGCCAGTCAACTACTATAAGAAATAATGGAGTCTGTGGGTATTAACCTAGTTGGGGAAAGTTTGACAAGAAACAAGTTATTTATATCATCTCAAAGTAGCTGCCCATAAATCACTTTGAAAAGTAAATGGGAAAAACCCTACTACAGTAGTATAAGTACCACCTTCACAAAATGACCACAGTTAGGCAGTAATGGGACAATTAGATGCTAGTGACTCAATATAGGATATACATACTTAGAAGGACACATCATCACTTCTGAGCTATTTTTGCCCAAAACAAGTCTGAATTTAATGAGTGAATGTCTACAAACCAAAATACAGAGGCTTTCTAAAGAATAACTGGCCTGTACTCTTCAAAAAAAGGTCAAAGTCAAGGAAGAAATAAAACAGTGACTGAAGAACTCTTCCAGACTAAAGACAAGAGAAGAAAGAGATTGAAGATACATTAACAGAGGAGAGATGAAGGATGGATCTACAAGCATGAGGCAACAGGGATTGCGAGGGATGGAGAATGTGTTGTTAAGTTATATGGAGTCAAGTCCATCTCATAGTGACCCCACCTCATAGTGACCCATGTTTAAGGTTTCCGAGAAGTGGCCGGTGAGCTTTAACAGCTGATCTTGTGATTCAAACGGACCTTGCAGCCCATTGCATTAACCCACAGCGCCACACCAGGCCTTCATTTTCTCAATGAAGAAGAAAGCTGAGAATGACCAAGGCAGAAAGTGAGTAGTGAGTAGTAAGATGATAGGGAAATGAAAGAGCATGGTGAACTCAAGAAAATGAAATAAAGTGTTTTAATGAAATGTGCAAAGAACTGGGTTAGAAAACCAAATAGGGAGAACTCACTCAGCATTTCTCAAGCAGAAAGAACTAAAGAAATTCAAGCCTCTGGTTGCAATATTGAAGGATTCTCCTGGGAAAAACGGAGTCCTGGTGTGGCATTGTAGGAAAAGCACTGGACTGTGAACTACAAGGTCAGCTGTTAAAACCCATTAGCCATTCCTTGGAAACCCTGTACTGGGTCGCTACAAGTCAGAACTGGCTTGACAGCACTTAACAACAACATGGAGAGCAAAGACAGGAAAACAACTGTAAATGCTCAGGACCCAGTTAATTTAGGAAAAAACTATATTTGATATGGTGCTTGTTTGCTGAGTTATATGGTTCTCTTTTGCAGCATTCAACCTCCCTGTTCCAAGGGCAAGGGATGTTTGGTGACATTGACCAAGTAGGAAGTTCTGCTGGTAATTTATTACTGTCAGTAATCATTAAGAATGAGAGAAATGATGAAAAATTATGATAATCAAATCAACTTATAGTTTTCATAAAGGATTAGAAGAAAGTACATTTTCCAAAGTATCACACTGTGGATTTTCCAATAATATTAGACACATGTTTAATGGATTGTTCAATATCTGGAAAGCATCTGGGAAGCTTTGAGCAAGCACTAGTGCACAGTGAGAACAAACTGGTAGAACAATTATTTTGGTGTTGTTAGAAAGGTCATTGCACTGACAGACTAAGGAACTATGTTAACTTCTGCAAAGAACAGAGTCTAACTCTCATCATGAACATCCCAACCCCTGTATGCTTCCATTTCACATATTGCTGGTAAATTAAATGTCCGATTTGAAATGGAAAGAATTTGAAAATTTCCAATCTTAAAAACCAATCAAGAAAGAAGCAATCCATATTGTCTCCTTTTGCATTATTTTTTCTGTAGGATAAAGTATTGGACTTAGAACCACAAGGTTGGCGGTTCAAGGAAAAAGATAAACTTTTCTGTTTTCACAAAGATTTATAGCCTCAGAAACCCTACACAGTTCATAGGAGTTAGAACTGACTTCAGATAGAATAATATTGGTCAGCACTAATTTAACAAGTTTCTTTTTAAAAATGAAATGTTTGTGGTTGGTTTCAGCTGGAAAACTGCACTCATGTGATCTAGAATTGCTTCCTAAACTGCCCTAGCATTTCTAAATCAAACTCTGGTTGTTAATTACCAAGTGGAAATGAAAACGATACTATTATTCTCTCTATACCCAAATTATTTCTACTGTAGTTTGTGTTGCAGTTCAACTTGAGAAAGGATTTGAAACATTCATGAATGTCTTAAAGGCTTGTAAGTGCTCGTTATTTTCATACTGTGGAGAGTGGAAAAGCAAAAATCCTAGATCTGTAACTCTATTTGAGAACCTTGCCAACTTTCCCCCAAGACATTATAGAATTACTGGCAAATTCCTATGAAAGCAATTTCTATTACTGCAGCATTAACATATTTTACTGACTGTGAACTCAATTTGCAAAGCCAATATTCAAAGTGGGGAGACAGGATCAGTATATTCTTTATAGCAGACTTTTCTATATACAATTGTTTATTTAAAAACAAAAATACAACTTTTACCTCTGCTTATAGCCTCAGAAACCCTACACAGAGTCACTATGGGTCAGAACTGACTCAATGGCACTTAACAACAACAATAAACAAAAATTATACTGATAAAATATATGTAATTCTAAGGAAATATTAAAACAAAGAAAATATCTCTAGTGTTTTTTGTTGTTGTTTTCAAACTTGGTTGTATTACATGCCTGCATTTTACCTGCAAATTGGGATCCAACTTTGTGAACTCTTCGCTTAACAATGCACCATCAACATTTTCCCATGGCATTAGATATTCTTCTAAAATATGATACTTTATCACTACATAGTCGTTATATGTTTAAGATCATAGCTTTTATCCATGGCATAACTGAAACTACACAATACTTTACTATAATAGTTTCACTTGCAGTTAATCTGTAACTTACATATAATTTTTACCTGTCATCATTTTTAGAGCTAAGGCACAAAAGACCTAGAAGCACATAAATTATCACAGAGAATTTTCAAAAGTGGATGTAATTTTTCTGCCCTAATAATTTGATAGGAGCAAATATACACAAAGTCTTCCTGGTTGCTCTGTGAAGCTTCTTCTGGAGAAATAGCAGAATCCATATATGCGAAATTTGTATTAAGTATAATTATCTATTGTCATTTCAGAAAAGCAGAAATTTCTCATCAATCATTATCCATAACATTCATGTGTATTCTTAAATATAAACAAGATGATTAGAAAAATCACAAAAGCATGAATAAGAATCAAGAATAGACTTGTTTCTAAAATATTTAGTATGATTTGAATATATTCACCTTGTGTCCTTTGCATAATTTTTTTCAAAAGCATGGAATATTTTCAATCCTCAAAATTGAAAAAAAAAAAAATTTAAACCAGTAATAGCTGTGTTAACTCCTTTAATTTAATGAACGTATAAAGTAATTTCTTTGAGTTAGAAAATGAAAGTAAGATTCATAGGCTAAATCTCTATTTAGTATTCTTTGCTTTATTCCATAATGATTATAAAACACTAATTTGCTAAATTTTTCAGAGTAGTTTAAGCACATTTCGCCCAACTTTTATGTGACTGTATATGTGCACATGTAAGCAGTGCTTGCAAATGATATTCCAGATCCTTCAACACAGAATGGAGGAATTTGATGAGCCAGCCAACGTTAAGCACTGGACTACAAACCACAAGGTCCACAGTTTGAGCCCACCAGCTGCCCTGCAGGGCAGGCTTTCTTCTCCTTCAAAAATTCGAAGCCTCGGAAACCCTATACAGGATCACTAAGAGTCCAAACCAATTGGATGACACTTAACAACTACAACAATAATCCTTCAACACAGAATGAAGGAACTTGATGAGTCAGCCAAATGGCAACCAGACAGAAGAGTCTGTTGATACTTTCTAGTTACATATCTAAAAGCCCCTGACAATTTTCACATTCATGGTTAGTACTGTCTTTTATAGTTTTCCTCATAAAATTCCTAGTAGCAATAACAATTACAACAACTAACATTTATTGGATAGTAACTATGTGCCAAGCACCATGTGAAATACTTTAGCCTCACACCAGAGGGCTGATGTGGTGCTGTGGGCTAATGCATCAGACTGCAAAGCCATTTAAATCGCAGGATTGGTGGCTCAAGCTCACCAGCTTCTCCTTGGAAACCCTATGGGTCGGAATTGACTCGACAGCACTTAACAACAACAACAACCTCACACCAAGCCCATGTGGTAAAATCATCGCAACTGTAAATCATCACAAAATTTTAGAAAGCAAATTTTCTTTGCCAATAAGTGACAAAATCAGACCTTGAAAACAAACATCTAGCAAAATGTAGGTCCTTAACCAGTTCATTTTCTTGGATAGCAAAAAGGAGGAAGACCTCCAATGAGATGGACTGACACAGTGACAGCAACAATGGGCTGAGATGTAACTATTGTGAGGATGGCACAGGCTTGGGCAGCGTTTCATCCAAGTACATTACTGATTGTTGTTGTTGTTGTTGTTAAGTGCCTTCGAGTCGGTTCCGACCCATAGCGACCCTGTACAGGGTTTCCGAGGGTGTAAATCCTTACGGGAGTAGAAAGCCTCATCTTTCTCCCACGGAGCAGCTGGTAGTTTCGAACTGCTGACCTTAAGGTTCGCAGCCCGATTCGTAACCACTACGCTACCAGAGCTCCTACTGATACTATCATAAAAGTAAAGAATGGTTGCAAGGGTACTGTTATTGATCATCTCAAACCTTGGAGTATCTAGAGCTTTCTACATTTCTAAGCACACCCTTTTTTGGAGACTAGAACATTATCTGAAGATTGTATTGCAACACCATATAATTGTGCAATTCCATTCATGCCATAATGTTAACATACTTCAGTACATGCCATGGTCCATCTATCACAATTTCTAGAAGAGTCTTGAAACTTTTTAACACCTATAATTTCCCATATCACTTCAGCCACACACTTCACCTGGAAGCATCACAGAAGTCTTAAAATCCTGTTACCTGATATGACTACCCATCCTTTTATCCCTCCCATTATCCTCTCCCTAGGGTACCTGTAGGAGCTCTGGTAGCGTAGTGGTTACAAATTGGGCTGCTAACCTCAAGGTCGGCAGTTCGAAACTACCAGTGGCTCTAAGGGAGAAAGATGAGGCATTCTGCTCCCGTAAAGATTTACAGCCTCGGAAACCCTGTGCAGGGTCACTATGAGTCGGAACCGACTCCACAGTATTTAACAACAAGGGTACCTGTTTAACCTCACAGGCCTTTCCATCTACTTCATTTCTGATTTCAGTCATTTATGCGCTCTCTCTTTTTATCCTTACCAGTCTAGCAAAAGGTTTGTTGATTTTTAAAAAGTTTTTATTGTGAATTGAGTGATCGTTTACAGGGGTGAACATCAGTTTTGTGCTCATTATATCGTGTTTTGTTTCATTGCAATGATTACAATCCCCTCCATGCATCATCATTTCACAATATTTGCTTCTATTCCCTCTGGTTTTTTGTTTTTGTTTTTTTGTACACAAAAACACTCAGAAGTATATAATCATTTAAACAGCCCAAGGGCTCATTCTGCAAGCTAGTCTCCTGGCCACCAGCACACAGCCTTTCTCTTTCCATGAGTCTAGAGTCCTCAGCTGCTCCCTCTCTCCATGTCCTCTCATCTCTGCCTCCATCTCTGGCATCCCTGCTTCTCTGGTTCGGGTCCCATGTTCCGCTTATGCTCTTCTCTCTTGATGGTCTTAGGGTACTCTATTCCTGGACTGTAAGATTAACTACTCCCCCATTTATGTTACAAAACTTCTAAAAGGTTTGTTGATTTTTATTGATATTTTGGAAGAACCAACTTCTGGTTTGTTGATTCTATTGCTTTTCTATCCTCTAGCTCTGGTAGCGTAGTGGTTACGAATCGGGCTGCGAACCTTAAGGTCAGTGGTTCGAAACTACCAACAGCTCCGCGGGAGAAAGATGAGGCTTTCTACTCCCGTAAGGATTTACACCCTCGGAAACCCTGTACAGGGTCGCTATGGGTCGGAACCAACTCGAAGGCACTTAACAACAACAACAACAAGTTCATTATTGCCTGCTCTGATCTTTCTTATTTCTTCCTTCTAGTAGCTTTAGGCTTTGTTTGCACCTCTTTGTACATCTTCAAAGGGCAAAGTTACTCGTTATTGATGTGATATCTTTCTATTTATTAATGTAGTCATTCACTGCATCCTATATATTTTGGTATGTGGTGCTTTCATTTTCCTTTATCTCTGTTTTCTAGTTTCCCTAATTTTTTTGACCTGTTATTGTTTAGAGGTATGCTGTTTAGTTTCCACATACAAGGATAAGTCTAAAACTTTTGC